CAGCAGCGGTCGGAGTAATAGCACCCACTAGGAGAGGTTACCACAGTCTATACTTACTCAATAGAAACAACACCTAATATCATTTTCAAAACCCTCCAACTTTCTAGTTCGAATTTTACAGAAAACTAGAGATCACTTCAGATCACAATCTATATCATATAATCCCTAAAATAGCACTTTCCCTTATTACCAGAGGCTGTACTAACTCGATAAAAATAGCCTTTTATTTCAGAAATCTTCTTAATTCTTTATATCTCTCATTTTCTAGTTACATTTTAAAAGATTTCTACAGATCACTTCCAGAAGAAACTTGAATTTATATAATAATCCCTAAAATAGTATATCCATTTGCTACCACAGGCTATATTAACTTAACAAACTTCCTTAATAAACCTCTAATGCCATTAATCTTTGAACATCATTATAAACCTTCCGGTCTAGTTGGATTTTTAAAGATCACTACAGATCACTACCACAGGTGAAACCAGTCTTAATTGTACAAAGTACATACATATATTATCCCAAAAAAGGAATTTTCTATATTTTATATATCCATAGTTAAAACATGTGTGCCATTATTTAGCCAGTGGGCCATATGTTTATTGTTCCCACAGCAGCAGGCACAAATATAGCTGCAAGTGCGTAGCCGATGATTTGCAAAATTTCGTAATCTACGGGCCTGATTAATGCACCTATATTTTTGTAAACGTGTAGATAAGAAGTGAGAATTGTTTCCCAGCTTCAAGCTAGTTACATATGTGTTAAATATTGCCTTGTTGGTATATAACTTTTAAAGATTTATTTAAGATGATTATAGTTAGCAGTTTTTGAGGACTCGTCTAAAAAGTAGTAATACATTGTAAGACCAAATTAAGAGGGCTAGCTTAGGCTCTGCTATTATACCGACCGCAACTGTTTGTATATGTGTGTGCAGCGTGAGTTGCCAAATTGGAATTGCTAAAATAAAACACGCACTAACACATCGGTCTGTCCAATCACCTTCCCAAAAACATATAGCGACGTTTACACGCTATGCGTCGCGCAGCCGGAACCGATGGCCGATCGCCTCTACGGGGAGACAAAGCACTTCCTAGAGCAGCACGTCCAGGAGATGCTGGCCAAGAAGGTTCTGATCGAGGGCGAGAGCGCCAACCCCCACGGTGGCCCCGATCTCCTCCATCGCTACTACACCACCTGGATGGAGTACAGCCAGGGCATCAAGTATCTCCACCAGTTATACATGTGAGCATCCCTTGAAAGCTGGCCCCAAACACATACTAATCATTGGTTTTCCCTACTTTTAGCTACCTAAACCAGCAGCACATCAAGAAACAGAAGATCACCGACACGGAATCGTTCTACGGCAACCTGTCCAGCGATGCTGCCGAGCAAATGGAGATTGGCGAACTGGGACTGGACATTTGGCGGCTGTACATGATTGAGTATCTCTCCAGCGAACTGGTGCGCCACATACTCGAGGGTATTGCCGCCGACAGGGCCAGCAATGGCACCTTGGATCACCATCGCGTGCAGATTATCAACGGTGTGATACACAGTTTTGTGGAGGTGCAGGACTACAAGAAGACGGGCTCGCTCAAGCTCTACCAAGAACTCTTCGAGGGACCCATGCTGGAAGCCAGCGGTGCCTATTATACAGACGAGGCCAACAAGCTGCTGCAGCGCTGCTCGGTGTCGGAGTACATGCAGGAGGTTATCCGGATACTAGAGTACGAGAGCAGGAGAGCCCAGAAGTTTCTGCATGTCAGTTCCCTGCCAAAGCTGCGCAAAGAGTGCGAGGAGAAGTTCATCAACGATCGCCTGGGCTTCATCTACTCGGAGTGCCGCGAAATGGTGTCCGAGGAGCGGCGCCAAGATCTGCGCAACATGTACATCGTTCTCAAGCCTATACCTGACAGCTTAAAGTCCGAGCTCATCACGACCTTTCTGGAGCACATCAAAAGTGAGGGTCTGCAGACCGTGTCCGCGCTCAAGGGCGAGAACATACACATTGCGTTCGTGGAGAATATGCTGAAGGTGCACCATAAGTACCAAGAGCTCATCGCCGACGTCTTCGAGAACGATTCACTCTTCCTAAGCGCGTTGGACAAGGCGTGCGCCAGCGTTATCAATCGCCGGCCCACCGAGCGCCAGCCGTGCCGCAGCGCCGAGTATGTGGCCAAATACTGTGATACGCTACTGAAGAAGTCCAAGACCTGCGAGGCAGAGATCGACCAGAAGCTTACCAACAATATAACCATCTTCAAATACATCGAGGACAAGGATGTGTACCAGAAGTTCTACAGCCGACTGTTGGCCAAGCGCCTTATTCACGAGCAGAGCCAGAGCATGGACGCGGAGGAGGGAATGATAAATCGGTTAAAGGTAAGAGTTCCAACATAATTTAAACAAAATGCACTACCTAACGTAGCCATTGTAAAGTTAATGAGCATGACAGTTAAATTTCAAAATAATCATTCTAACTGATAACTGCAAAAACTGACCTTTCATAATTTAGTAAATTCAGCCTGCTCAACATGATAAGCTAAATATGGCGTATATTTTGGTTTGATAATTTCATTCCTTTAACACTAACAGTGGCATACTTTGTACGTGTTTTTATTTATCACAAAATTCTTTATTTATTTTTACAGCAAGCCTGTGGATATGAGTTTACCAATAAACTACATCGCATGTTTACGGACATTTCGGTATCTACGGATCTGAACAACAAGTTTAATACTCACCTAAAGGATAATAATGTGGACTTGGGTGAGTTTTGAAATGATAATGATAATATCCACATAGTTTCCTAACACTTAAGATCCCACGCAGGCATCAATCTCTCCATCAAGGTTTTGCAGGCTGGCGCTTGGCCCTTGGGATCCACACAAGTTATACCATTTGCAGTGCCGCAGGAATTTGAGAAGTCGATTAAAATGGTAAGTGGCAATGTGTATACTTTATACTCGTAACGATTTATTAACATTGTTTTCCCTTCTTTCAGTTCGAGGAATATTACCATAAACTGTTCAGTGGTCGCAAGCTGACTTGGCTGCATCACATGTGCCATGGTGAACTGAAGTTGAGCCATTTAAAAAAGTCCTACATCGTGACGATGCAAACCTACCAGATGGCGATAATTCTGCTGTTCGAGTCGTGCGACAGCCTGAGTTGTCGGGAGATTCAGAACACCCTGCAGCTGAATGACGAGACGTTTCAGAAGCACATGCAGCCTATGATCGAGTCAAAGTTGCTGAATGCCAGCTCAGAGAATCTCGCCGGGGAGACTCGAATAGAATTGAATTTGGATTACACAAATAAGCGTACAAAGTTTAAAATTAGTTCGGCTTTGCAAAAAGAGACGCCACAGGAGGTAAATAACTGCATATATATTAAATTAGAAAAGAGATTTTCAAATCTTCGTTTCTCATGTAGGTGGAACACACGATCAACTCGGTGGATGAGGACCGAAAACTGTTTCTGCAAGCCGCCATTGTCAGAATCATGAAGTCGCGCAAAGTCCTGAAGCACAATGCGCTGATACAAGAGGTATAAGGTCTAAAATATCTAACTTTAAATCAAAAATAACATATTTTCTTTCCCAGGTACTCTCTTTATCGAAGGTTAGCTTTACGCCCAACATAGCAATGATCAAGAAATGCGTGGAATCGTTAATTGACAAACAATATATTGAGCGGACCGCGAACTCCGGCGATGAATATAGCTACATGGCCTAGACTGCGGAAGAGATTATTTAATCTAAAGCTAATTAAACTCCCCAGACTACAATCCCCCATAAACAGAAAAAGAAATTGTTAACCAAGCGGCTTACTTTGTCTTAAAACACCTCATAAATAGACAGGATTTTAGCAAACTACTAACATCCATATGTTTACAATATTCTTACAAGAAAAGCAAAAGAGTGGTCAAGCGATTTGGATTTTGTTTTTTTTTATGATCTTAGCTTATTGGAATGAAAGATGTGTGGCGATCGAACGATGTTACTGATACTTTTAATTTAGTTTAGTTAGTTGCCCCATTTTGATTTAATGCGTGTGTCCTATATAATTGTAGATATATTCCTTTTATGTATTGTATATTTGTCTGGTTTTATGCACACACGCACAAAGCAGAACGAATTGCTGGAAAATGTAAAATAAAAACCGAAAACAAATTTTCAAATTCGATGCCGAGAAATTTTTTTCCAACTCGTTAGTGGTCTATTTCCCAAACGGATTGAATGCGTTCACCCAAGCAATCCAATTAAATTGGCCAGAAAGTAAACAGAAAAATAATTTGTTTAAATATTTATCAACAAGCTCCGAATTTTTAGAATCTTTGATCAACGAATTTTAGCAGGTCTCTTACGATTTCAATAAATTGTAAATGCCATCTACTATCCATAAAGTATAGATCTGCCTGCGTTTGAATATGTTTCCATTAAAACACGTTTTAAGTCATACATGTCAATATTATTTCAAGGTTCTTTTTATTATTTCATTTTATTTACCCTCATATACAATTGTTAAATTTTAATATTAAAAATTTATTTTCCTTGCTAAAAAATTATATATAACTTTATCTGTTTACTGCTGTCTGTGTTTGTATGCTAAGGTGTAACTTTTATAGATCTGTTCGTATTTTTATTGTAATTTGTCATTTGAATTGGAAAATGTCTAAATGGAATCCCAGATCTTGCTAGTGCGCAAACATTTTTCAAGGAAAACACTTCCAAAATGCGTGAGATTTAATTTGTAGAGTATTTAAAAAAAAACGCTTTAATTGGGCTATTATTATTTTATTGGCCGTTGATTTGAAAAATAAAATTGACATCCAGTTCTCGAATGTTTAAAAAGAATATTATTATTGTTTTTATGATGCCCAGTAATTCTAAAAGTCAATTTTAATGTTATATTCTTGTGTTCAATAACCATTTAAGTTTCGCCTTTGCCAAAGGATCCAATTTTAATAGATATATATCACGGTACACGGGCCATGGATTATTTCTGTTTTAATAATTTTATTTCGTTTCATGCTACTTTTCTAAAAAATATATTCAATAATGTTAATTCAAATAATTGTACATATGTCATTAATTATAATAAATACCAACTTGCTATAGCATATAATATAAATCGTTAATAATACTTTCAACTTGCTCTTGGGGGCCAGCTCCTGCTCATAAAATGCTGCCAAATCTTCATTCTTGGCTTCTCAGTGAGTGTTAATAAAAAATATGTTATCTTCCATATATCCTTTTCTGTTGTTTATTTTTTAATATTTAATGACTAGTAAACGTTTACAGTTTTGTTGTTTCATATTGCAGTTTTCTTTCTCCAACTACCTAACTTCCTTCGCGCTCAAAATTTGAGAAATGCTTTCTCTGGTAAAATCGTATTGAGCATTAATTTTGCGTTTTAAGATTATATGGATTAAATCAATTTCAAACTGGTTATTATCAAAATTCTTCTTTTTTTTAAACGTGGAGGGCTTAACTTCATTCTTTTTCAGTTTTTTGGAAATGTAACTCGTATTATGAGATTTTATATTCTTGTATATTATTGCGACTGGGGTTTTATTCGAGTTTTTTGGGGATGGCTTCTTGGGCAAAGCCAAGGATTGGAATCCATGAGATACTTTCTCAAATCAAACAATACCTCGTTTCCAATTGCACTTTTTCCGTATTCCCAGTTCGTTTTAAGTCCCTTGACCAACTCAAGAAAAGTAGAAAATAGTCATCGAACCCAAACTTATTTCTCAGCTACACAAAAGTACCTAAAGAATTAAACACCGCCGTAAAGTAAGAAATGTTGCCTAGAACCCTAAACGGTTCAGTTATAGTCCAAACTATATATATAGCGCTCATATCTATATACGTTTATATAAATTCAGTGCTTGTATAAGTTGTAAATTTCTTGCTGCGCCCATGTTGCGTGCATTTGGTTAGGTTTCGGTTGTACGGCCATAGAATAATTGCGATAATCTCGTTTTTTTTTTGGCAAGTTCAAGGTCGGGGGATACTGCACATACATACATAAACGAGTACATATAATATAGCCGTGCGATCCATACAACTGCTTTCGTTTTTCATTTTCTTTAGTTTGTGAGAGTGGAATATTGTTTGCATATGTTTAGTTAATTTCATTGTCTTTCATAATATTTTCGTTTTCGCTTAAATTTTCTTTGTTTTACGCTTTTTTCATTTTCAGTCTTTACGATTCACGGCTTTTGTGCATTTGAATTCTTCAGTTTTCTCATTACTATATGACCGATATATACGATACGATGTGTATACAAAATTGCTTCAATTGTTTTCAAGGTGAACGAACACGAGCGTGAGAAAGTTTTGCTGATCGGATGAGCAGGTGAGTGTGGGTGGGGGTGTGGTTGGGTGCAAAGACAAACTCTCAACATGCGACCCGATAAACGTGAGTGTAAGTGCAGGGTTATTATCATTTTCGATGCTATCATACGCTTATGGTGTAAATAAAACTGGGGGGCAGTGCTTAGGCTTGCCGGCGAGGACCTTTCTACTGTTCCAACGAGGTGGTTTTCGAGCGCTTCCAAAGGGACTTGAAGAGGCCCTTCTTCTTGGGCTTGGCATTGGTGGTCACCCCGGAGGCTGCGTTGTCCTTCTCCTTGCGACTGGTGGTATCCTTCCGCTTGGTGGAGCCTGAAAAAAAGAGTGTAATGTTAGTATACTATTTGATTTCAAACTTTACTGGTATAGGAGAAAAAGTAAGATACATCTTACAAAAGCTAAGATACATCTCATAATATTTTATCAAAAGAAAACCCTATCTATCACATATCTTACCCGTCTCAAATTCATAGGCATGCTTGCTGTTGTTATCATCCATAAGCTGATCGCAATAGGCCTTATGTTTTCGATCCTTGCTGTTCTCTAAAGGGTTTAAGAAAATATCTTTATTAGTTGGTCCGTCCAATTATATAAAACTTACTCTTTTTGGTTATCAGCAAACTAGTCACTCGACGCAGCGCCTCGCGGGGAGATTTGTTTAGGAAGGAAGGCGTAAGATTTGGTGGCAGCGTTAATGGCTTTCGAGATTGACCGGTGCCCGACATGCCCGCGGGATTGTCCCACACCCGCACGGAGGCCAGGCGATCTATGTTCTCGGTGGAGACCGGGCGCATTCCCCGCTGCTTTGGATACCAACCGCGAGCTGGGGCTCCAGTCATGCGTAGCATCTCATTGGATGCCAAGGCATGATTGATCGAGCGCTGGCGGCAAATTTGGGCCGTTCCATAGTTACCGGCTAAAGAGGAGAGGTTTACAAATAAGGTTATTCTTGATTATCAAATCATCAAAACCACCCAACACATAGTATTGTCCCGGTTTAAAAAAAATTTTCCACAGTACATCTCTGCTATCCTTAGGGTTTTAAAACCATTAAGTATAGGTTTATCAACGTTAAAAATAAATATTTCTAGAAAAAGGGGTTGCTTCTGACGAAATCTATAGTTTTATTTGGCTAAACGTAAAAAAGGTGTCATATTTCATCCTTATTTGGTAGAAAAAAAATTTTCTTAAAATTTGAACCCACGGTAGATAAGTGTGATTTCTAAGACATCGATTCTGGGCAATATTGTAATGTATTGTACCTATATGTACTATATGTTCCCGTTTATACATTTTTTGATTCTGTTATTATTTTCGAGTAAATACCCTTATTTTATGAACTTTAAGTAACTCTGCCGTATACTAAATGTCCCCTTAATATTACACTTTACTCACCCCCAATCCCCATAATTGAAGTGCCCATGTTGATGCTGTTCGATGTGCTGGACCTGGGAGCTGTGCGGGAACCGCTGACCACAGGCAACGGCTCGTTTTGGCGTCGATATGGCGTACGTGGTATGTCACAGCTGACGAAGAATGGTTACCATTTAGTGAGGACTTCTTTCCCGCATGGAGCGACTTACCCTCTGGCAAAAATTGGAGTTTCAGGAAGACTACATGAGGTTTGCAGACGGTGCTCCTCGCGCGGCGACTGCTTCAGGCTGCGCTTGGTGCCGTAATTGATGTACCGTCGTTGATAGGATCCGGATCCGCCCGGAGCCATTCCATCGAGCGGGGGCGGTGGCAATGGAGGCATCGGTCCCAGCCCGGTGGGTGTGGTTATTCCACTGCCGCCTCCGCTGCTGTAGTGGCCAAAGAGTTTGGGCGATCTCTTGCGATACTGCGAGTCAATGCTCCAGGACTTCATGGTGTTGGCCGAATGGCCTCCGGTTGCCCGGTGTGGTGGCACCATTGGCGGTCCAGGCAGACCCTCCAGGAAGCTGGTCACTTGATGGGCAGGCGCCGGTGGCGGTGGCAGCTCGTCGGTGAAGTGACGCACGGCGGCCACATTGTCGCGACTGCGGCGCGTGTGGCTGTTGCTGCTGTGCACGGCCGCTCCGGAGGCTGTGGCATGCACCTCCACGACGGTAGTGCCGCGGTTCGCTGGCGGGGCACTGGCCGCCACCACAGCCGGCAGCTCTAGCTGCTTGCGTGGCTCAATCGGAGATGGCGGCAGTGGGGCATCGTAGTCGAATAGATCCGGATTGGAGCTGGGCGGCGATGGGGGCAGCGGGCCCAGGCTGGGCATCTGCGACAACAGCATCTCCTTGGCACTCTCGGACTTGTGAACGCCTGGTCGGAACTCCAGTATCCGTTTGGCATGCAGCTCAGCTGCTGTTGCAGCTGCTAAACTGGCTGCTGCACTGCCATTGCAGCCCGCCTGCTGACCAACAATTGGAATGTCGCCACGCAGCAAAGCGCTGATGTTATGCTCGATTTGCATTAGAGGAGCACACCCGTAGCTAAAGTCGGACAGCTCTTCGTCCTCCTCCAAAGTGGGGGCCAGATCGGTGTGTGGAGTAGTGGCATTGGAAACGCGTTGTTCTGCATTAGAAGAAAAATCATCAATTAATGTTTTATTTTGCAGAAAATATACAGATACCCTTACCATTTCCGTTGTAGCCGTACAGCTCGTAGTTTCCGTTTCCGTTGAGGCGCGCCTCATCGAACTCCTCACTGCTGGACGTATTGTCCGGCATGGACTCGGCGCTCAGCCGCTTCTCGGTCAGCATGGCCGTCTTGCTCTTCATCGGCTTGCAGTGGCCCAGTTGGTCCGGGGCCTCGGCGATGTCCAGCGATAGAGCTGCCCGATGAGCGGCGGCCATCTCCAGTCCGCGGCGTGTCTGCGCCGCATTGGCCTCGCACTCCTTGTACACGAAGTTCATCTCGGAGGAGGAGGGCGGCGGTGGAGGCAGTGGCGTGGCATCGCTCTGCTCGCTGTCGCTGGTGTAGAACTCATTACTGATCGCTCCGGCTCCCACTTTACAGCCAGATCCAGATCCCGATCTCTCGGCCAACGAGGGTCGCGGTGGCTTGGGTATAGAAAAGACATCAGCGGCACGAGGCGGTTTTTTGGCTGTGGAACGGCGGATAACGAAGGTTCCCTTGCCCAGCATGCTCTGCTCGTTGTATACAAAGCTGTTGTTGAAGTCGTCCAAGTTATTGCCCTTCTGTTTGCAGAATATAAAGGATATATATCAGAATAAGTAAGTATTATAGAAATTCCTTCAAACTGACCTTTTTGGATGCACCAGAGGACTTCTTGGTGCCATTGGACTTCTTCTTATTGCTCTTGAAGTGAATCTCCCAGGCCACCCCGTTCTGCTTGACGGGCGTGAGGTCTGTGGAAATGGTGGACTCCTCCAGCGAGTCCTCCGAGTAGTCCTCATCCCGGCTAGCCTGCTTCGAGGACGCCACATTAATGTGGGAGGCAGCCGGAGAGGCCTCGCCGCTGGACGTGTGCTGCGAGCCGGACGAGGAGGTGGAGCTGCTGGAGTGCGGATTGAGCATGTGGCACACCTCCTTGTGCTTCTCCACCGAGCTAAGCAGTCGCTTGCTCCGGGCACCCTCACCCCCGGCCGCCTTGGAGGATGGGCCCGGGTAGATGGTCACCGGATGTTCGTTGACGAAGGGCTCCGGCAACTTGGCCAGATTGCCACGTAGCACGGCATTGTGCACGGCGCTGATGTCAATGCCCAGTGCGTTGCGTCCACCGTTGCAGCTGCCCGGGTGCCGGATGGCTGCCAATCCACTCGAGGAATTGCCAGCGGAAGCGCCGCCCAAATTGGAGGCCCTGGCCCCGCAGCACGGCAGACTCGAGTAGTTCGAGTTGGTGGCCGGAGTCGAGCTGGAACCACGTGCCTTTGGCTGGAGTGCAAGAGTGGAGTGGGAAGAGAGGTGGTTGTGCGGTGAGTTAATTGCTTTCCCATTAGCTGGAGTGCTTGACATGGGGGGGGCTACCCCCAACCCGGACTCACCAGTGTTGTCTGGATGAGGGGCGTCGTAGTTTCCTGTCCGTGTTCCACCTCAGATAACTTGGTTAGGTTCTCAGCCGTGCCATCCACCTCATTGAAACTTCCCTCGGGCACCGTGTCGGTGCTGGGTGTTTGGGGCACATCTTCCGAGTCCTTTTTGGACATGCTGCAAAGTCAAAGTTGAAAATTGATTAGCAGAAGTGAGGGTTGGTGCTAAGTGGTAATTGGAATGTGGTGATTCCCCAAGTCATGCATGGTTGATGGGTTGACAGGCTTGCAGCTTAATATTTAATGTGTTTCTACTTTCAAGTTTAGTATGTAAAATATTTTAATATCCATATATTTTACTCACTTTTTGCGACTTAGACTCATGTAGCCATCGTCCTCCGACTGATTCTCGCCACTGTTGCTGTGCAAGGCCACCGGTTTCGTTGCTGCCTCCTCGAACTCCGAAATGATCTCGTCGAGGACTTTAATGGGCTCAGGTATGTCATCCAAGGAGATGGGCTCCAGCGACTGCAGCTGCAGTTGATCATCGCTGCGAAAAATTAAAGGAAAACACTTTGTATCAGTACTACCACTTGAAAAATATAACTTTTTTAGTTGAAAACAATAATAATTTTGGGACACATATGAGTTCAATACTATTTTCAGTAGATACCTTAGTACAGAACCTTAAAAAGTTTTTGTAAAGTATTGTATAGTATTTGTAAAGCCCCTATAAGTTAGAAAATCTATCAGTTCTGACTACTTTATCCTCAGCTTTCAAAAATATTGGTTAACTTCATGATTCCATTTTCCGACTCATAAAGTTCTACGGTTTTATAAAGTGTACATATTATCTTAGACATTGGTCAACCAATTTTCAAAAACGGTTTTAATTTAACCTTTTTTGAATTTTAAATGCACAGATAAAGAATTGGAATAATAACAGCTAAAAATTTTGTTTTTCAATTAAACACAAAAAACCAAATACAAAACATCTAAATTGCTTGATTTAATATGAAAATATTGGAATCAAGTGAGAAAATATTAGATACGATATTAAAATAACAGTTTAAAATATTTGAAATAGCTAGAATTGTTAAATGTAACAAAAGTAATTTAAAACTGCAATGGATGAAAATCATACTTCTCACTAACAAATACAAAAGTAGTTAAAGGTAAAGGTAGTAGGTAAATATTAAAGTTGAATCTAAAGTTTATAAATGTACTAGGGTTTTTTATCAGTTTGGGAATAGTTAGCAGATGGAATTCATAAAAATGAACTCGTTGAAAAAGAGCAAAAAACTGCGACATACTTTTGTCTATGTTGGTCAACTCCAGCAGCGGCAGCATCTGCATCTGCATCTGGATCTAAATCTTGCCCGGCCTCCGCCGCCGCTTCCGCCTCCGTCTCCACCTCCAGGGAATCCAGTGGGCAATGGGAGTCCGCCATGGCCGCCTGTGACCGCCCCCGGACCGCCTCCTCCGGATCGAACGCCCCCTCGGTCTCCGGTTCGCTGGAATCGCGTGCTCCACACGATTCGGGTGCCGCTGCCATTATGCGAAGATGATGATGCTCATTGAAACCATCGACGGCGGCTGCTTCTTTGTGGATGTCGATGTCGATATGGAGATACTTCGTTGATTATGGAAATGTAATCAGTGCGCCCACAGGGACGTCGACGTCGCTGCCTCAGTCAGCGTCGCTGCCGGCGTTGCTTTGTTGTCGGCTGTCTCAATTTTCATCTAGGCAATGTGTGAAAGTGATTGGCGGTTTTCCACTGCTTCTTCTGCTGCTTCTGCTTCCCTCGCTGCTTCTATTTCAGGTCATTAAATTCGTCATCGGGAAAGTCGAGGCTGCTGGGGGGGTGGAAAATCGGATGAATGGGGGTCAGAGATTTTGGGTATGTAAGCCTCTGTAAGTCGCTATTAATAAATAATGAATATTGATTTCGCTGCCGTGATTTCCAATTAGGAGCTATTATTCGTGCGATTTAAATGCGAGCAGGGAAATTTCCGCCGGTGGATATTGATATTTTCCGATTAGGTGGAAAAGCGTGTGAGCGGAAATTAAAATTGACTTGGCAGGATAAACTTTGGGAAGGCCTACAGGGCACGCAACCTGTCAGAAGTTGACCTTCGTTTCGCTAGGAAAGCAAACAATGGGTAGAATATTTATGTGTACACATTGATCAGAAAGGTTTTCATAACCAAATGCGTGCCGAAGCAGTCATAAAATCTGTCATAAATGGTTTTGTTTTCCAAATGACCTCTGGCTTAACCAAGTTTCATGTCATAAAAACTATAAAAATAAATGTATTTTGCTTATTATTTTTTATAGTTTGATTCTATACTGCCTTAACCTAAATTATTTTTATATTTTTTTTGCAAATAATTTTAATTTTTTTACGTCTTACTAAGTTCAATAACATCATTTACTCCTATCTAAGGTTTATGAGACATTTGTATAGAAATCTGTTTAGGTGTAGGTACACAAAACCTAAATACATGAATTCCTTTTAAAAAGAAACAAAAATTAAAATGATTTTCTGTAGAAAAAAACCTATTTTTTCAACTGAAAGTCTTTTTTACAATTTACTTTATTTTATTTTTTGTTAACCCCAATAAAATCGAACTGCACAACAATTTGTTGTTTTATTTTTAGTTCCAGTCCGTAAATTTGGCACATTAAAATGTGTCTGTATCATAGAACTTTTCCATGATGTTTGCCATATTTTTTCGCTTTTCCGTTTCCTCTCGCCCGTCTGTTCTTGTTTTGATTTAAAAATCGCTTACATTAATTTTTCATTTACGGCAAAAAACACATAAAGAAAAAAAGTAAACACACGCGCACTCCGGGCAATTAAAAACTGTTCAACAAGGGATTTTTGTGCATTGATTTTTCGCATCTCTTTTTTAGGAGAGAGAATTTGGGGAATGTGAGTGTGTGGAGGTGTGAGAGGCGGAGGAGCAGAAGGAGATGGAGACAACAACAACGCGAGAGAGGAGCGGAGAGTGTGGGAGCACACTATTCGCACTCTGCCTTATCTTCATTCATATTTTCTATACACTTTGGGGTCCCGCTGAGAGGAGTTTGAGTAGCGAGTCAGGCGCATTCACACACCATTCTGGTCCACCTTCCCCCACACACCTACACACGCACAGTCTTTGTACTACTGTCTATATATAAACACGTTTTTTTTTGCCTGTGGCTAAACAAAAAACTTTTTGCAACTGCAACTGGGTTGGCCTAAAAAAATCGCATTCGAACGGATGCGGGCTGCGATAATAATAAAAGTTTGCAATATTTGAGTTTCTAATACGGGAAAAATTCATTTCCGGTATTATCGGCGACTGTCTATGGATTACAGTTACCGTTACAGTCGCAGTCACAGCCACCCACACAATCGCACACGCATGGGGGCTACTTTGTCTAGCTGTAAAATTTACTGCTGTCGGCGTCGCTGCTTTGGCTTCAGCTCCTTCTCTTCTTCCTCTTCTACCACTCTCCTTTCCTTTCCATTCCTTTCCTTCCTTTCTGAATGAAGTTTCTGCAGGGAGTCTGGCATCGATTTTTTCATATGCAGACACATACACCAAACACCCACACACTCGAGCGAGCACCAAGCGACTTTTTTCGGCTCTGCCTAATAATTACAGTTAGAAAGCTCTGCTTTTGGGCACACCAAAAGGTCAAATCAAGAGTCTTCCAATTGGAAATGCTGCTAAAAATAGATTAATCCCAAGCGGGGGCGATAGAGAGAGAGAGTGAGTGAGTGGCGGAGGAAGAGTGAGAGCGCAGGGGGTGGGCAATTGTAATGACAGACGCCGCGGCGACATAAAAGCAACGGTAACGGTGTTTTTCGCCCGATGACAAAAACAGTCGTGGGCCAATTTCCGAGAACATTCGCATTTTGCAATTAGCTTATGACTAGCACAGCAACAACAACGCACGCATATACACAATACACACTGGGGAACCCACTTTTTCCGCCTTTTCCGCTACAACAACTCAAATTCGACTGAGCGACGCACCGACCTTTTGTTTATGGCAGAGCAGAGCAGCGTTCGCAAATCTAGCGATGCCAGAAATGTATCAAAATATTGTATCGATATCTTCCCACGCAGCCAAAAATCAGTGAACAAAAACCGGTTTTGATTTATTTAGCTTTTTTCACATCGCCGCTTTGTAAATATGATCCAATGCGATTTTGGTTATTTGACTTGCTAATGAAAACATTTTAATGACTTCTTTTGGGATTGCTTTATTTGAAAGAAGAACTTGTCACTTTTTAAAATTAAAACTGCGCGGCTCATAACTAAATTGCTTCCAACGGTACATTTACATTAAATTATTTAAAAAAATAAAAAAGTCTTTATTAAAACAATACAATAAAATACTTATAATAACAAACACAGTAATTAAATAATGTACTCATTATTATTATAAGTCAAAATTACACGTAATAACAGTCGGATATCGATATTTAATTGTTACTTTCAAAAATGACGTGATTGCTTAGCGCGGACTCGAACCAATACAGGTGTTAGGGAACTTTTATACAAACATAGGGTATATCATACTTTACACTTGTTATACCCCTTAATCAGAGACTAAAAGGGTATATGGTGTCCGTTGAAAAGTTGGTAGCATTTAAAGGCAATTCTAATGATTCTAAGAAATGGGAAATTATATTTCGTCCTAAAGAAATCACTTGAGATGGTCAATATTTGGAAATTTCTTTGGTGTTTTTAGAGCCCAGACATAAACAATTTGTTTTAACTTCAAAAGTGTAGTTTTAAAAAATAAACATCAAAGATATCAATACCCTTAGCCTCTTGGGTGGGAGGATAGACATCCCAAAAAAATCATCGCCTTGGTCATTTTGTTACATGCTATTATGCTATTATAAAAGCTTTAATCCCCACGACTTCGTAAGAAATCTATTTTCGTTCCGACCACATGTAGTGCTTTTTTTATATAAAAATAAGTATTAATCATTTACTTGATTTATTATGTTGTGTTTTACTGTTATACAATTAATAATCATCAAAATTTCTTTAATGTTTTGTGTTTTCGATTAAAACACTGCCGGCGGCCGCAGGCGTTGTTTCAGGTGCCGTGCGGAAATTAGATGTTGTTTTCGGTCGCTCCACTTTGTTCTATGTTCCTCCCGCTCAGCCAGCTGCACATGGATGTTCTTGTGTGGGGGGTTGCGATTGGGTGGTGGTGGTGTTGAGTGGTGCCTTACAACTTGTCCAAGTACTGGGACAGATCGGGCAGACCTTCCTTGAGACCCTTGCGCTTGCGCGTATCCTGGACAATGGCGTAGGGCTTGCTGGAGGGCTCGCTCGGGTCACCGGGCAGCACCTGCCAATGGTCGAAGACGCACTGGGGGAAGGCCTGGCCACCGGTGTTGGAGCGCAGATCGGCGGTGAAGCCGAACGACTCGTTGACGGGCAGGTATGCCTTAACCACGAACATGGGAGTTCCCACAACCTGGTTCTCCTCGAACACGTGTCCACGACGCCTGTTGAGCACACCGTAGATACCTCCGACGGCCACCTCGGGGCACTGGATCTCGCACAGGTAGACGGGCTCCATCAGACGAGGCTTGGCGGTGATGGCGGCGGCGTACAGGCAACGACGAGTGGTTGGAATGATCTGGCCACCTCCACGATGGATGGCATCAGCGTGTAGCGTCACATCGTAGATGTTGAAGCGGACACCGCGCAAGTTCTCGTCGGCGAGGATACCCTCCTTGGAGGCCCACTGGAAACCAGCGACAACGGAATCCTTGATTTCGTTCAGGTACTGCACGGACTTGGTGCAGTCGAGGATGAAGTTGGGTCCGGTTCCGTCGGGGCCGAAGCACCAGATCTTACGGGCCTCGGTCACATCGTAATCGTACTTCTCAGACAGATAACGGGCACGGGCCTTGAACTCGTCCTTGGAGCTCACATCGCCGTTGTCAATGTCCTCGGGCAGACCATCGGGCATGGGCAGGGCCTTCATCAGCAGACGGTTGTGCTTGTTGGGCGACTTGGACAGACACATCTGGTCGGACTCCTCCGACACGGTCTCACGGTAGGACACCACGGGGTCGGACTTCTTCAGGGGGATGCAAGCGTGATCCTCCTCCAGATCCTTCAGACAGATCTCCAAATGCAGCTCACCGGCACCGGCAATGATGTGCTCTCCGGACTCCTCGATGATGCACTGCACCATAGGATCGGACTTGGCCAGACGCTTCAGACCCTCCACCAGCTTGGGCAGATCGGCGGGGTTCTTGGGCTCCACAGCCACACGCACCACAGGGGACACGGAGAACTTCATGACCTGAAATCGAAAGAAAATTCGAAAAATTTAGTTAGGTCCAAGTAATAGCAGGGAACTTAAGAATATGCGTGTTGATTTAAATGCCAAAATCTTGTACCTTCATGTTGTGGGCATCCTTGAAGGTGGTGATGGTACCGGTCTTGACCAGGAACTGATCGACACCGACCAGACCACAGATGTTGCCAGAGGGCACATCCTCGATGGCCTCGACGTAACGACCCATCATCAGGATGGTACGCTGGATGGCCTTCTCGTACAGATCCTCCTTCTTGCCGGGGGTGTAGTTGGGGCCCATGATGCGGCACTTCTGGCCAGTGGCGACCTTGCCGGAGAACACACGTCCGAAGGCGTAGAAACGACCCTTGTCGGAGGTCGGCACCATCTTGGAAATGTACATCATGAGGGGACCCTCGGGGTCGCAAGACTTGACGGCAACGGCGGCCTCATCGTCATGGGGACCCTCGTACAGCATCTCCATACGGTACTTCTGGGCAACCACCGGCGACGGCAGATGGATGGCAATCATCTGAAGCAGAGCCTCACCGGCTGGCAGCCAGGTGCGCATCACGGTCTTCAGCAGAGCCTTGCCATCCTTGTCCTTGTCCTCGTGCTTCAGGGTCACGCCGATCTTCTCGAGCAGGGTACCGATCTCCTCCTTCTTGTAGTTCATGATGGCATCGAACACCTTGTAGATGGGGTCCAAGATGTACATGCAGAACGAGCGCTTGTTGTCGGCCTCCTTCTGCTTCTGCCATTTCTTGGTCTTGGCGTTGAAGAAGTTCTCTCCCCAGAGACTGTGAACGGGAAATAATAAAGCATTTGGTTAGTTGAATATTTGGTTTGGTTGACCTATCTTAACCTCTAAATTGTACTTAGTGAGTATTTGGTTATCATTTCTTTGTTCTTGGCGTGTTTAATCTTTTTTCAATCTTTAAATTGTACTCCCCCTTTCTGTTGAAATGTTTTGGTATTATATAATAGTTTGGGATTTCTTCTAATTGATTTTCTATCCTATTTTGATGGCTTCAACTAGGTTTTGGTTCATAAAGGAAAGTGTGAGGTCACTGCCTTAGCATGACTCGTTTGGACATTAGGAAAGCGGTCCCGAGGCAGCGTTTCAACAGTTTCCTGCGGTTTGTTCTGCTTCTATTTTTGTGGCACTTGTGGCGCCCTCAGCACGTGCGACTCTAAAGAAGACAGCCCCCTAGAGAGCTGTCCTCCAAGATGCCGCCCGCTCAGCGCCACACGTTTTGTGCTAGAAGCGTGTTTAGATACTTTTCAAAGAACTAAATAGAGACCACTTACCGGTTCATTAGCTTCACCACATCGATCTTGAACTTCTCGGAGTACATCTCGGAGAACTGCTTGAGGGTGAAGGCCCAGCCGTGCAGACCGGAACCGAAGCCCACGGATCCCTTGGAGGGGTCCACGCGCACCTCACCCATTGGGCCACCATCATCGTTGTAGGTGGCAATGATGACGTTCACGTTCTCCACGATGCGCTGGAAGGTCTGGTACAGCTCCTCGGCATCCAGCTGCAGCTCGAGCAGAGCGCGGTCCATCTTGTTCATGAACAGGATGGGCTTGATGCGCTCAGCGATGGCCTGACGCAGCACAGTCTCGGTCTGGACGCACACGCCAGAGACGCAATCGACCACGACGAGGGCACCGTCGGTCACACGGAGAGCGGCGGTCACCTCAGAGGAGAAATCAACGTGACCGGGCGAATCGATCAGGTTGATCAAGAAACCCTTGCACTCCTTCTCACGCTGATCGGGATGGGTGATGAACACCAGATCCTTCTCCTCCACCTCGAAGTACATGGAGATGGCGCTGTAAGGGAGATGGAATTGGGGATTAGCCGGGGGCTGGTCAGAGGAAGGGCAGGGCGTGGCTGGTCTTACGTCGACTTGATGGTGATGCAGCGCTCCTGCTCATCCTTGCGGGTGTCGGTGAAACGGGTCTCACCGGCCTTGGCTCCGGCAATGATACCAGCCTTGGACACGAGCGAATCGGTCAGGGTGGACTTGCCGTGGTCAACGTGGGCAATCACGGACATGTTGCGGATGTTCCGCTTCTTGTCCATGAGGCCACGGATTTCGTCGACGGTGAAGTTGACCTGCGAGGAAAATAGGGCATCGTTATGTATTAGAACGAGTTCCAACTAGAAGTACATATGTATATGGCTGTATGTGCATATTAAAAATGGCGTCCACACACACACATATATATAGAGATTCTTGGCTGTCGTGCCACGGACTTTGAGGTTAGATAAGAACAGAAAAACCACTTGCGTCGCCTATTTACAGAAAATCACATCACTCACTCACACACCCGCACTGCAGCATTGAGGTATATAATTAGAAGTAGCCATTCGCGCGAGGCATTTCGCAACTTTCACCTAGATGCCTTTCACATTCTTGCGAAATTTCAATAGCAAACTGCATACGTCATTCCTGGTCTTTGTCCTGCATTTCACCACACAGACACACACGCACATGCAGGCGTGCACTTATATACAGGGGAATGTACATATGTGCAGGGCGGAATTTCGCCAGGTAACAACGGTTGTCACGTCTGCACTTTTCGGACCGACGACGGATTCCACGCACCGGACTTGGGACATTTTAAATAGCAGCACAGATCGCCACGGGGACTCCCCGGCGGCCAGGCCAGCCATTATTTCGGACTTTGGGCACCTACCATTTTGGATGTTTGGAGATTTTCTCGCGGGACCAAAAAAACACTACGCCTTGCAACGGCGTTTCGACAGGAAAGAGCGACCACGGCGACCAGAGTGACCGTGGAGGTGAGCTAAATTCCGAACGGTCACGTTGAAAATATCGATCACAGCATGATTACCATCGATGGGTCGCTCTTCACGCTTCCATCACCAACGATATATCTTATCGCAATAAATTATTATGGCGGGAAGTTGCGAAATTTGAAAAATTCCTTTCTATCTATGTTTAATTGAAGACAAAAGACAAGAGGAAACGTTACTCTATTTTTAATTCCAACAGAAATGCCCTGGAACTCTGTTTTATTTGAAATTTAAAACAGAGTTCAAGGGCATTTCTGTTGACGCCACGGAAGCTAGCGGACGGTAGCGGTACCACTGACCATGCAAAGCCTGTGAGAGAGCACTTTTACGATATTGAAGGCGACCTCTGGCGTTCTGAAATGAAATTAAGTCCCAGCCTGGACCCAAACCATATTTTGAAATTCTCAGAAATTAAAAATATCCATGCTGCCAGACCGAAAAAATGAGAAAGAAGAGGTTGGTGCTACCAGATGGAGAAAAAAAGACTCATATTCAAGGAAGAGGAAGAACACGTGGCGCCTTAATTTGAAAATATGTAGAATATATATGTAGAATATGTATATGTAGAATTTGTTTAGCTTTATAAATAAGAAATAACTGATTTCGGAAAACAAAGAGACTTTAAATTTATATAAACCTTCAGTAAGCGGTAGATGTTGAATTAAATTATTATGTTTTTTTGTCTGAAACAATAAAATGTTAATGGTTTATCTTGTATCAGGCCTTAATACACTGTTGTGAATTTTTTAAATCGGGTCTTTAATTATCATGGAATTGGAGATCTCGGCAAAATGGGAGTGTTAGCTGGACGAAACTTTATGTGTGATATTAAAAATTAACTAACTAACTAAAAATCTAACTTTATTTTATAAAAAAATATAACATTTAAGAAAATTATTCAATTCAAAGGAAATGCTCAAAATAATCTTCACTATCCAAGAAAGTATAGGTTTTTTTCAAGAAACAAATAAATAAGTAATTTGTGTTACTCCCAATCTCTAGGTTATTATGTAAAATATTGACGGTCAATGAATTACTTCTTATTTATTAATTTATTTTATTTATTTACTATTATAATTATCGTAGCGCAACAAGATGATACTTATATTTATAGCGCTACTCAAGATGTGAACAGGTTAAATTTACATTGATTTCTTAAGGCTAAACAATTGTATTACATTGTCTTAAGGAAAACTCTGCTATGTTGGAGTTGAAGGAAATATTTACATATTCGTAAGAAACTGTTACAGTTACATTTTTTGTAACGTCTTATACCATTTATGAAAAATGTTCTATCCATTAAATGAAATAATAATGTAATCTTATAAAACAATATATTTTCATTTCCAGCAACATATAATGTTGAGCAACATTTTCCCCTCAGAAAGAGTTGTTTTTTAAAACACCCCCCACCTCAAACTCACTCAAACACGTTTGGCATCCAACTCCCCATCTCGAACTCACCCAAACACGTTTGGTATCCAACACTGATTTCCACTCAAGCCCAATTTCCACTCAAACCTTTCCCCACCCTCATGTTGCCAGCAACATTGCTGCTTTTTTCCTGAGCAAAGCCGGCGAACGAAATGAAAACTTGAACAGTTTTCAAGTGATTTCCTCAGCGTGCGGGTTGTGCTAACGGTAAATGAAAATTCAGCTTTTCATAAGGCACCAACATAAGTGCACTTTGGGTCCTTCGGTGTGTGTCGGTGGTTTGTTGTAGTGCGAATGCAACAAATAACAACGAGGATATATTCAAATTACCTAACCAAAATATTGGTTTTATTTAAAAACAAACTAAAAATGGATTTTTAAGGCAGAGATAAAGTAAATCATTTACATTTCTACTGCTAATAACGTGAAATAAAATACTTAATAACCAAATAAACCCCAAAGCAAAAACAGCCAATATAAATTCAAATTGATTTTTAAGTTACAAATTTGTTTAACAGTCTACTATGCTAAAAATGTTTTATTTGTTATAAATTTTCAAGTTAGGGCTAAAGTCATTTTATTACCCGAAAATAAGGAATAAGACTTAATTTATACTTAACCCATAAAAAATCTCTGCTTAGCTGACCAAAATAATTAATCCCTTTTTTATTTACCACAAAAGGACGGAAAATTCGTAATAATTGGTGGCTCGACGGGAAGTGCTATTAAAAATAAGGCCCAAAACTTTTAACGACTTTTCGTTGATGCACAAAAATCCCCGGCCAAAGACAATAAATAATTATAATAAATAGAACACCGAGAAAGTGGGGCCCTAAGCCCACAATTCCTGCGAAGGATAACTTTGTCGTTTCTAGCGTTCTTATTAGAAAATCCTTTCGCGCTCAGCTTCCTGACCAACACAAAAAAAGTTGAGAATTTTGCACGTCTTTGAGGTTTTTGTGCTGCCAGGCTGCAAACAAAGTAAAAGTTGCAGCGAAAGTTATTGTGCAACGCGTGTGGCAAGTGCGGCAAAAGGGAAAAAGGAAGAAAAAACGAATGCAACGGCAAGTTTAATTCGATTTTAGTGTGTAACAATCAGTGTGAAAAAACAGTGAGGAAGGAGAAGTCCCACCTGTCTGCCAGCAGGTGCCATTTGTGTGTGCTTTTTGTGTGGCAACAGCAGCAGAATTGTTAAAGTGGATTAGCAGACAGCTCCCTTTCTCCGCACTGCTCTTGGATTTCCTATTGGATGAGCGTGTCAAATCTTTCAACTTCTGCTTGCCGTAAGTCTACTGTAAAAGCCCAGAATTTACGTTTTTCATTTTCCTTTTTTTTTGCGTTAAGGGGTCTGTGGCCACCCACTGCGCCAAAAAATTAAATTTCCATTAAACTTCGTAGCTGGAAGGAAGCTTTCAAGGAAATCTGTGGGGAAACCTGTAAAAAAAATGCTATCTTTTTTAAACGAAAAAATCGTATTTTCTCCTTAATAACCAAAATATTGACCCTTATATGTCTCGGGATTAATGAATAAAACCTTTCCACATCAGAATAAAAATGTTATCTTTATAAGACCGTCACTAAGTCACCCATCACTTTTTAAAAAAAATCCAGTTCGAAATGTTCATAATATCCAACATAATCTTATCCCTTTGTAAACTACTTTATTGCTTTTCTTGCATTCTAAGAGCTTCTACGGATAATAAATGAATGCCAAGTATTTACATTTTCATTAAACTACTTTGCTAGAAGGAAGTTAAGGAGGTCTATAAGGAAACATAAAAAATAAAACAGAAGAAATGTTGTATTTTTTAAAGTAACTATTGAAGAAGATGTATGTATTTTCACCCTAATAACTTAAGTTATTATCCTAAAACAAACCATTTCCAAGTTCCAATAAAAAAAATGTGATATTTATAAACCCCTAATAGTAATATATACCAGCTTTGGTTCTCTCACCCAAAGCGTCTACCCCATTACCTTTATAAGAAATCCATTTCGAAATGTTGATAATACCCAATATAATCGTCTTACTATGTAAACTACTTTACTGCTTTACCACCGGGAAATGCATCAGTTTCCACACTAAGAGCTTCTACGGATCGAAATATAGTCTGAAGAGAAAGCAATCAGCTTGTGGCCCCAATAAAGTTGTCATAAATATAGCAGATGATTCTCTGGTCGCAATCTAAATCGTCGTAAAGTGCACACACACAGTCTAGAGGGCTTAATAAGCCTGCTAATCTGAAGTCCACACACACGCACCCAAACATTTTAGATATATGCACAAATGCCGAGAGTTCTTTCATAAGCCCCGAATGCCTAAAAATGTTCCAGACAGACTCACACACAATGGGAATTACGGCGGAGATGTCGTCGTACTTTTTAAGTAAATTATAAAGCATTCAAAAATGGTTCTTGTTGAATGAGTGTTGGGTAAAATAAAACGAGTATGAGATGAAATAAAGCGGCAAAAGTATGCAAAAAGTCAACGGCTGTTGAAAGAGTCGACCAGACAGACTGGAGAGCTTGTGCGGCGGCATTTGAGGGGTAGGGAAAACCCAAGGTACGAAAGGAAATTCAGACAATGTGGGGAATGTCGAGAGGGTGTCTGCCTTCAAGTCCTGCCTGACTGCCTGCCTGCAAATGCAGATGATCCCATATCCACTTTGGCAACTGTCTTTTCATTGTCCAAGCCTCCTCTTTTCTAACTTTCTTTCACAACTGGTTCTAAATGCTAGGCCAGTAAGATTTGTAGGGCTTTAAGTTCGCATATAGGTTTAGACTACAAAAATAGTAAGAAGAACCTCCACAGGTAAAAATTGAATTTTAAATCAACCATAAAAAATGCCTTGGGTTTTTGGAATAATTTAAAGAAAGATGAAATGTCACTAATATTAAAACCATTCACAGGACCTTCTTTTTACTATTCCAAATGTCTTAAATATTTAAAACAAGTGTGCATTCTCGTAAAAAATATAAATACATTGATATACAATAATGAAAAGCATCCTTTCAATGCAGGGCTTGAAAAACAACAAGATTATACAATGATTAAGACTTAACACCGAACTTTTCACCTTGTTTATTGTCTATAATTATAAATATCAGAACATTAAAACATATTTAACTTTTAGTATGTGGAAACTTTTATTTTTTGTATCCCTCCTTTAAAAATAATACTTTTGCACATTAAAATCCCTAACTTTTCGCTTGACTTACAGCACCCCATGAAATCCCAAGTCATAACGCCCAGCCTCAATCCAATTATCATCTAATAAAGTATTTCTTCAATCACCCCAATTTTTACTTTATATAAAGAGCTTTAAATGCGCTTTAGCACAGATTTTGAAGATGCTTAAGCTGCGTTTTATAAAGAAAAGCCTTAAAATCTCAATTAAAGTGTGAAATCAAAGAAAAGAGAAGTTCTAGAAGGCGGCTTATAAAGGGGGCTGCTGTTACTACAACTGCTTAAAGGCAAACCCGAACTTTCAACTCCCGCCAAGGTATCTACTAAATTATGAAACTGCATCCAGCTCCCTTTTCCACCCAA